TTTTTTTTTTTTTTTTTAACCTTTTTTTTGGGGTATAATTGCTTTACAATGGTGTGTTAGTTTCTGCTTTATAACAGAGTGAGTCAGTTATACATATATATATGTTCCCATATCTCTTCCCTCTTTGTCTCCCTCCCTCCCACCCTCCCTATCCCACCCCTCCAGACAGCCACAAAGAACCGAGCCGGTTTCCCTGTGCCATGCGGCTGCTTCCCACTGGCTATCTACCTTACGTTTGTTAGTATATATATGTCCATGTCTCTCTCTCGCCCTAACACACCTCACCCTTCCCCCTCCCCATATCCTCAAGTCTGTTCTCCAGTAGGTCTCTGTCTTTATTCCTGTTTTACCCCTAGGTTCTTCATAACATTTTTTTTTTCTTAAATTCCATATATATGTGTTAGCATACGGTATTTGTCCTTCTCTTTCTGACTTACTTCACTCTGTATGACAGACTCTAGATCTATCCACCTCATTACAAATAGCTCAATTTCGTTTCTTTTTATGGCTGAGTAATATTCCATTGTATATATGTGCCACATCTTCTTTATCCATTCATCCGACGACGGGCACTTAGGTTGTTTCCATCTCCTGGCTATTGTAAATAGAATTGCAATGAACATTTTGGTACATGACTCTTTTTGAATTCTGGTTTTCTCAGGGTATGTGCCCAGTAGTGGGATTTCTGGGTCACATGGTAGCTCTATTTGTCGTTTTTTAAGGAACCTCCATCCTGTTCTCCATAGTGGCTGAACCAATTCACATTCCCACCAGCAGTGCAAGAGTGTTCCCTTTTCTCCACACCCTCTCCAGCATTTATTGTTTCTAGATTTTTTGATGATGGCCTTTCTGACTGGTGTGAGATGATATCTCATTGTAGTTTTGATTTGCATTTCTCTAATGATTAATGATGTTGAGCATTCTTTCATGTGTTTGTTGGCAGTCTGTATATCTTCTTTGGGGAAATGTCTGTTTAGGTCTTCTGCCCATTTTTGGATTGGGTTGTTTGTTTTTTTGTTATTGAGCTGCATGAGCTGCTTGTAAATTTTGGAAATTAATCCTTTGTCAGTTGCTTCATTTGCAAATATTTTCTCCCATTCTGAGGGTGGCTGTAACTTTTTGTAACTTGGGAAGTGTTCAGGGCTTGCCTTCAAGTTTAAGAAACTAAGCATGTATTTTCTCATTAAAATATACTTTGAAAATTATGGGAAAAAGGGCCATTTTTTATTAAGGTGCTTGGGTGTGTGTAACTGTAATCATTTCTTTCCATACACGGTGGAGACATTAGTAAGTACTGTACTGTGAAAAATGTTTATTAAAATTCTCATTTTGCTTTCCAATACTAAACAAAGACTTTTTGCTATGACTGAGATACATATCTAAAAACATGGTAACCAAAACTGAAATTAATGCAAAACAAACCCTGAGAAAGGATGGCCATTTTCTCTTTAAATTTACCTAAATCGGGCTTCCCTGGTGGCGCAGTGGTTGAGAGTCCGCCTGCCGGTGCAGGGGACACGGGTTCGTGCCCCGGTCCGGGAAGATCCCACATGCCGCGGAGCGGCTGGGCCCGTGAGCCATGCCCGCTGAGCCTGCGCGTCTGGAGCCTGTGCTGCGCAACGGGAGAGGCCACAACAGTGAGAGGCCCGCATACCAGAAAAAAATTTAAACATAAATTAAAAAAATATTTACCTAAGTCATTTGGTCCACCAGTTTTAAATTACATAAATTTCCATACTTTGTTGAACTGGGGTCATTTTTTTTCAAATTAAGCAAATTAGATGAAGCTGTGTAATAACAAAAAGTAATAGGGCTTCCATGGTGGCGCAGTGGTTAAGAATCCGCCTGCTAAGGCACGGGACATGGGTTTGAGCCCTGCTCCGGGGAGATCCCACATGCCACGGAGCAACTAAGCCCGTGCGCCACAACTACCGAGCCCACATGCCTAGATCCCGTGAGCCACAACTACTGAGCCCGCATGCCTAGAGCCTGTGCTCTGCAACAAGAGAAGCCACCGCAATGAGGAGCTGGTGCACCGCAATGAACAGTAGCCCCCGCTTGCCACAACTAGAGAAAGCCTGCATGCGGCAACAAAGACCCAACACAGCCAAAGATAAATAAAATTAAAAAAAAATTTTTTTAAGTAGTAGATAATTATTGCAGAGCAGTTAAAAATGCAAAAAAGTATAAAGAAAACAACCTACAGCCCATCGTTAAGAACTATAGATGTTTTGGCATACTGCCTTCCCATCTTTTTCACACATTCCGCTGTTTTAAATATTGAAATTTAAGTGTTGTTACTAACAGAATTTCTACTTTGCAGGTATCAGCGTAGAGTGGAATGGGCCACAAACCTCATGCGAAGACAAGGCCAGGATGAGAGCACAGTGCGTAGACTCCTTGAGGATTACACAAAGCCCCTTCAGCATCTTTGTCTGCAAAGGAATGAAGAGGTCCAGTTGTGTAATGAGCTGAACTCTGAAATGGTCTCCAAAATGGAAGGCACAGCAGATAGAGAGAAACTTTCTGCCATGAATGAGGTTGCAGGAAAGTCACATGATCTGGAGGATCCCAGCAAGCGATCAGACCACCCGCAGGAGGGCTCCAGGCCTGACCTGATACCTACCCACGGCTCGGGTGAACACGTGGCGGAGGTCACCGCTCCTCTGCCCCACGTGCACTGGAGCAAACAGGCTGTTCTTCTCCCGCCCTCTGGCGCTCAGCCTGGGGACAGCAGCCAACAAGCGGGTCTGGTCCCGGCCAGCGAGAGAGGGCCTGAGCATCACTGCGTGCTGGTGGAGGAAGTCGTGTGTGACGTGAGTGAGAGGGAAGACGCCTCAGGTGGGGACGTAAGTAGAAGGAGAGAGATCACCTCCTCCAGGGCAATCTGTGTCTGACCCAGAGGAGATGCTGGCCAACAGGGACGTCCCTTACTCGGAACCGGTAGCAGGCTCGTGTTCAGCACCCGGGACATGTGAGCGCTGGTGCAGGACACACTGCAGACCCTCCAAGGGCACCAGCCAGCCCTGGGTCCCAGCCCTGAGGGCTCAGTAGTCGTGAGGGCTGTTTCAACTGAAACTTCAAAGTCTGTGAATAGCTTAACTTTAAAAAATACATGAATATATATATATAATATTTAAATAACATATATCTGTAATACATGACGTAACATATAAAGTAAAGCAGGTCCAGTAACGTTCTCTCCCTTGCCAGGGAGAAAAAGAAATGGAACGGTAGTTACGCAGTCTTGAGTGTAGCGGTGGGCAGGGGCTCAGGTCGGGAGGGCAGCCCTCACAGGAGGAGGCTGGGGCGCATAACGAGATCCACTTCATTCAGGGACCTACAAGATAGTTGCCCCAGCATCATCTGTAGCATCTAAAAGTGAGAAACAGTCTAATAGTTAAATAGCATGAGAAACACCCGTTTGAAGAAACATCTCGCCTTTAGAGTGGAGTTTATGAAGTCTCGTTAAGAACGTGGCATATGCTTATGAGGTGCAGTTGGGTGAAAAAAAGTAACACATAAAACTGACCAATAAAATGATCACAACTGCAGGAAAAGTTCATGGGCGATGAAAGAAAGGAACTAAGTCAAAATGTTAATACAGTTGACCCTTGAACAACATGGGTTTGAATGTGGGTCCCCTTATGAAAGAGGATTTTTTTCCCTAGTAAATAACCGTACTGCCGCACGACCTGCGGTTGGTTGAATCTGCAGATAGGAAAGAACGCAGACGTGGAGGGCCAGGGCCGGCTGTGAGTTACACGCAGACCTTCGACTGCCCGGAGTCAGCACCCCAGCCCCCTTGTTGTTCAAGGGTCAGCTGTAGTAGAAAAATGAAAACTTACTTTTCTACATAAAATAATAAATTATTTTTCTACATAAATAAATTATTTTTTAACAGAATTAATCCAACAAATGTGAATCGGGGAAATTTAGAAGAAAACGTTCATTTTAAAATGCACCCTCCTCCAGGTAACATGTAGTGCTTCCATTTGTCCTGTATGTATTTTATTTTTCTCTTCAGTTGTCGCCAAAAAAGAGACTGATATGCAGGAGAAATCCATTTAGGATCTTTGAGTACTTGCAGCTCAGCCTGGAAGAGGTATGTTCCCAGCATGTCGTCTTCTCAGCTGTCGGTCTCTGGGCCTGGGCAATGCCACGTAGATGAGTCCACCTCAAAATGCAGTTCTGCGTGCAGTTCAGTACTGAGGTCGCCGCAGGCAGAGTCCACAGTCGGCCGGCCTGCATTTCACTCCTCGGCCTTCATTTCATCGATTCTAAGATGTCCATTTGGGGCGGGCCTGCCCCGTATCATCCCGCAGAGGTTTCAAGGGGGTTGTCTGAGCACTTCTTTTCACATCAAGGTTTCAGATTGTCCAAATATTGTGTTACTAATTTTTAGCAGCTTCTAAAAAAACATACAGGTTTATTGAGACACAGAGCACATACCATACCATTCATTCATTTAAAGTGTGTAGTGGTTTTTAGCATATTCGTGGAGTTTCACCAGCTTTTCACAGGCTTCGATGCATGCCCCGAGTCATGTAGCGACTGCTAATTACATAAATGGATTCTAGGTATTTCCTTCTGCAGAAATACTAACACGTGTTCTCTTTACTGCGTTCTCAAAAGTTGCTGCAAGTGGCTTTCTGAACCTGCCTCATATTTTCCGTCTGATTTGGGGTTCCTCTGTCCTGTGTTCACGCGGCTACCAGTCCCCCGTTTTTTGCTTATGTCTGTACTGTACCCGAATTTGACGACAGCGCCCCTTCCTCTGTCTCCTGTCCTTGGCTGTGCCTTTCTGCAGGGGTGCTCCTGCCTGTCTGGAGGCTCCTGCAGCATCTAGCTCAGTGCTTGGCGTATCTGTTGGTCTCAGGCAGTGCTTGTTGAAAGCGTCCACGCTGGTCGTTTCATAGATGTGTTCACAGAGAAGTGACTGTGTCTCCGTATTCTCTTCACCTGCTGGGCTGTGCTTCCTTCCTTGCAGTGAGGCCAGCGGTACAAAGAACGGGCTCTCAGAGCAGGAAAGGATGTTGGGATTTATTTACTTCATTTGCTCAGTTTACAAATGAGACAGCTTAGTCTGCTGTTGAACACAGTAGCCACTAGCCGCATGTGACTGTTGAAACTAATTAAAATTGTGCAAAATTAAAAATTCTTTTCTCAGTTGTGCCAGCCACATTTCAGACACTCAGCAGGCACCCGTGGCTACTTTGTTGGACAGCACTGGAGACACCATCCTCCAGGTCCTTGACTTCTCTGAGCCTCAGATTTCTGCCCTGTAAGATGAGGGTGATGTAACACCTTGTTCATAATATGTTCTGGAATTAAGTAGTGCACGTGATGGCTTCAGCACCGTGCCTGGTGTATCACAGATGCTCAGTAAGCATTGGGCCTGCTGTTTCTGTCATTACCATCATTATTAAGTCACTTGTAAAAGCTATTTAGTGGCTGCTTGGAACTCTTCCTTTTGCAGTCAGTGTTTAGCAAAAAGATTACCAGGGACTTCCTATGTGCCAGGCACTGGGCTGAGTACTAACAGTACAGAGAGAAGCAGAATGTGGCTCTGGTCCTAAGATAGCCACAAACTGCACTTCAGTGTGATGGGCACCGTGTGGTGTGTGGGCTGTGACTGCTCGTCTTGTACGCCATGTCTGACATCTATGAGGCGCTTGATAATTATTTGTTAAGTGGATGTGTACAAGGTGGGATGGGCACAGAAACTGGTGGGCTCCAAAGGGATGCGAGCCACCTGGAAAGACTTTAAAGGGTTGGTGGTACCTGGAGGTGTTACAGGGTAAATAGGGGATTGCCACGTGGACACGGGACGGCAGGCCCTTGCATGCAGCGTGGTCCCAGAAGCGGCCACCCAGGAGGGGAGGTCACGGAGGGCACATCTACGAGTAGGGGTCTGACCTGGTCCTGGTGGCACCGGGGCACTGCAGGCGGCTGTGCAGGGGAGTGGCAGGGACCGGAGCTGGCATCCGGGTGAGGGCAGGCTGGAGGGCTGAGCCGTCAGGAGGCAGCCGGCCTCTCAGCTGTAGGGGCAGCAGCAGCAGGTGGAGGGAGAGGATTCGGTGTCAGAAGCTGGGGGCTGAGCCTCACTGCTCCAGGCGGGGACCAGCTGATGCTTTTCACTGACTGTGTTGCTCCCTCTTCCCACACACCCGCTGAAGAAATGCCACAGTAATGGGAGGCAGGAGGCGAGGTGGTTCTCGTTCTTGGAGGCCGCTCGGTTCCTGAGAACGTTCCGGAGACGTGTTGCAGAAGTTTCCAGGGAGCGTGCAGTTAAGCCCGGCTCCGCTTCCCAGTTCTGTTTTGGCAGGTTTCCTTGGATGAATCACCCATGTTTGGTGGCACCACCCATACAGTGTAACATGTTTCCATAAATGTCCCTCAGGAACACGGGCAGCCCTGCTGTGGTGACTCAAAGCGGTTCTTAGGTTTTGAGAATGGTAACACCGAGCTGACTGAGAGATCTGTCTCTGAGAGCTGTTTTTCATTTTAACGCTTCAGGCCCTGACCGGATTTAGTGACAAGACATTAAAACCATCATTAAGCTCATCCGTCCATCTTATTAGTACTATCAAAGTAAAAACCTACTCATGAGATTTCGAGGGTCCAGTCTTGAGCCTCCACAGACCTCCCGGGTCTGCTGATGACTTAATTCTAAATAAAGCCAACTCCGTTGGATTAAGATCCTCCCCATCTATAATAAGTGCCTAAGAGCAGCTTGCATAGGTTCATAAAAGCTATTTTAGGCCAATTAAAAACGAGGCTTTGGTTTCATCAGTTCTTAGGGAAATGTGTGTTTGCTAATGATGGAAAGTTTCTGAAGAACTTAGATTCTGATGGATACCAGGAGGTCATCTCTTCCTAGGCAAGGACTGGATTGAACCTTTCCCAGCTACGGTGTCTTTTTAGAAAGGCAGGGAAGCGAAATGAATTGAGCAGTTAGGTGCTTTGCATGCTTTTTTTTTTGGTGGCGGGGGAGCGGGGGGTGCTGTGCCTTGCGGTTTGTGGGATCTTAGTTCCCCGACCAGGGATTGAACCTGGGCCACAGCAGTGAAAGCAACTCCTAACCACTGGACCACCAGGGAACTCCCAGCATGGTCTTTGTAAGTCTTCATGAAATCTAACCTCATTAAATCTTTAAGAAGGCTTGATCGTCCCCATTTTCTAGATGAGCTGGGAGGGTTTCAGTGATGCTTCCAAGCTAATGAGATTTCAGCCCAGGTCTGCTTATCTCAGAGTATCTTCCTGTTCTCCCACTGTGAACCCAGAAGGGAAAGTTGAGGGAAAACGAAAGGAAAAGGAAGACTTGGCTTTTTGAGGAACCACCTTTTCTTTTCTGTTGCACCTTTTGGCCACCATCTGTGTCCGTCTGAAAAAGCAGTGTGTTGTGTTAATAAGTAGTGGGCCACAGGAGAGCAAGCGGCAGGCTGTCACCAGTAGCTAAAGGAGAGGCAGGACAGTGTCCACCCTGAGGAAACGGAGCTGGGAGACCTGCCCTGGGTAGCCTAGCCACGTGTTCCAGACCATGGGCGGGATCCACACCTGCTTCTTTATTCTTTGAGCACATGCACCGAGCCCCTTCTAGGTCAAGGGCACGGCAGGCAGAGTTTCTGTCTCACAGAGTTTACATTCTAGCTGGAGAGACACACTTAAGAAAGATACTTTCAGGCGAACATAAATGCTCTGAGGAAGTCGATCGGGACGGGGTCACGCAAACTGGGTGGTCAGGGAGGAGCTCTCTGAGGGGTGACCTTTGACTCCGGGTGTGGGAGCAGCAGTTACAAAGGCGAAGGCAGGAGTGAGCTCAGTGTGTCCGGGGACGGAAGTGAAGCGACCATCTAGGGAGAGCGCTGGGCGAGTGCCACGAGACACCTGGGAGCCAGGGGCCTTCACGTGCTGAGAAGGTAGCTCGGGCTGCCCTAGGGGACGGGCTGTGGGGCCGGAGCACAGAGGCCTTGGCAGAAGTCCAGCCGGGAGGCGGCGGCGGCCAGGATCAGGGCGCTGGACCCAGAGAAGCGGGCCTCGCAGGTAACCACCTGCATCTTCAGAGAAGCTCTCGATTTGGATCTGGGTAGAACTAAAGTAGTTCTCAGGGACTTCCCTGGTGGCGCAGTGGTTAAGAATCTGCCTGCCAATGCAGGGGACACGGGTTCGAGCCCTGGTCCAGGAAGATCCCATATGCCATGGAGCAACTAAGCCTGTGCGCCACAGCTACTGAGCCTGTTCTCTAGAGCCCCCAAGCCACAACTGCTGAAGCCTGTGCGCCTAGAGCCCGCGCTCCGCAACAAGAGAAGCCACCGCAATGAGAAGCCCGCGCACCGCAAGGAAGAGTAGCCCCCACTCGCCGCAACTAGAGAAAAGCCCACGCGCAGCAACGAAGACCGAACACAGCCAAAAATCAATCAATCAGTAAATAAAATTTAATAAATAAATAAAGTAGTCCTCAAACCACTGTACTCTTAAAAATTATTGAAGGACCCCAAGGAGCATGTTTACGTGGATTAGATCTATCAGTGTTTACCAAATTATAAATTAAAATGAAAACTTAAATATGTGTGTATTAACTCATTTTAAATTAATGATAATAAACCCACTATACCTTAACGTAAATAATATTTTTATTAAAAATAACTGTATTCTTTCAAAACAAAACAGATCCAGTGAAAAGAGTGGCATTGTTTTTCATTTTTGCAAAGACTTTAAGGTCTGGCTTAAGAGAAGATCCCTGGATTCTCACATCTGCTGCTGCGCTCAGTCTGTTGTGGTGTCACGTGTCTCGGAGCCTCTGGGGAGAATGAGTATGAACAAGGCCAATAAAGCCTTGATCTCACAAAATGGTTTTGACTTTGAGAGCTCCTGCAAGGGTCATGGGGACCCCAGGATCCCCAGACCGACCACACTTCAAGGACCACTGCTGTAAAGAGAAGTGTCATCAGATGGCCAGGAGAGGATGACGGTGTGGTGGATTGGGGCGATTCCTGAGGGTCAGGAAGGTGTTTCCTTAGCAGGACCTTGTCGCTGCTTGAAAGCCCTGCACCTTCACAGCCTGTGTTCTCTTGAGTCCTGAGCCCTGGGCGGGGAGGGGAAAAGCCATCAGCACCACCGTGGTGGAACAGAAGCCTGAGGGCTCAGGGCAGGGACCACCTTCCTGCTGCCACCTGCACCAGAGGGCCCTCCAGGATACCTGAAATCTCATCTTCCATCCTCATGTTAAAAAAGAAAAGAGCATTTAGAGCCACCATTTCTTCGTCACTGACTACTACAGACCAGCCTCACCTGAGCTGTTCAGGCATGAATGCAGATCCTAATCGCCTTGTACAGGCAGAGCCAACACCGGGGCCTGTTTGCTTTTGTCAGTGCTTGGCATCGTCTTGTTTTTGTCAGAAAGTTATTTTTATTTGCACGTCAGTGTGATTTTACTCAACTGGGCCCGACCTTGTCTGCCGTTCCTCTTGCCTCCCCACGTGAGTGAAACATGGTGCCTTTTAATGAAGTTAATGGAAACTTGGGGTTTACTCGATCGGAAATCACTTAACAGCAAGAGTGACCAAGAAACTCATTTGGTTTACACAAACCAAGTCTGCGTTGCCCACTTTCCACAATTTTCTACTTACTTTTTTCTATAAATTCTTTTGTCACTTTAGTAAGATTATTTGACAGAGGAAAATCCAATGAGCAAAGGTTTCTATTGTTATTTTTGCTATTTACATCATTTTTCAGTTTAGCTGTGTGGTTTTTATAAAGAAAAAATACATGGAAAATTTCATAGAAATGTTTTGTACTGATTCTAAACCATTTTATGACATTCATATTTTAATCCTTGAAATTTGAATGAACCATTTATGTTTAAAAATATGTGACCATTTGGATGGTGATAAGGACATTAATTTGTATTTAACACAAAGAGAAATCAGTCTGTAAAATAATTTCTCAACGTGGAACAGTTTCTGATGAGCGTTTTCTGCTTGCTCTGTTTTTAGGCTTTCTTCCTGGTCTATGCTCTAGGATGTCTAAGTATTTACTATGAGAAGGTAAGGTGTTTTATTCAGACACAGCCCACTTAAAATTTCCCTGATATGGGCCTCCCTGGTGGCACGGTGGTTGAGAGTCCGCCTGCTGATGCAGGGGATGCGGGTTCATTCTCTGGTCTGGGAGGATCCCACATGCCGCGGAGCGGCTGGGCCTGTGAGCCATGGCCGCTGAGCCTGCGCGTCTGGAGCCTGTGCTCCGCAACAGGAGAGGCCACAGCAGTGAGAGGCCCGCGTACCGCAAAAAAAAAAAAAAAAAAAATTTCCCTGATGTTAAAAGCAGGTTGTAGTAATTTCCATATTGCTTTAATACAAACGTGTCCACTTTCACTGGATAAAATTGGAATTGAATTTTTTCTCTAAGTTTAGGCTTTGGGTCCTGAATTGGGATTGTTCAGGCAAAAGCCAGCTTTGACCCTTTCAGACTGAATTTCATTCCCAGAGACTAGGATAGCAGTATCTTCTATACTGATCAGGAAATCTGTGAGAGCGCTACCAAAAATTAACAGCAAAAATAGAAACTACCCATGTTTTAGCACCTGCTTCAGTAAAGGCTGTGAGTTAGGAACTTGATATGCAGTATTTCTAGTCCTCAGCTTGCGCCTGTAAAGGCTTTTATAGACGAGGTAACTGAGGCTGAGGAAACACGTAACTCACCCAGGGTCCCACAGCTGGTCTGGTTAGAATTAGTATTTGAACCTATGTCAGGACAGCTCCAAAGCCCATGATTTTGTGCTGTATCCTGCTGCCCTCAGCAGAACGTTAATCCCAATGCTTGCCTCCTGGTAGAGGAATTGGGTGGAAGGCGAGACTTCACTGTACACTTTTGTACTTCTTGAATTTGGGCCCACGTGAATACAATACCTGTTCAGAATAATTCACGTGAAATTAAAATTAAGATGAAAAAGGTAAGCAGAACGCTAGAACAGAGAAAATACATTTTATTTTTTTTATTTTTTTATTTTTTTGAATTTCCTAATTATAGTTCAAAGTCTTTACTTTTATCTTTTAACCCTCATTCTGCAGACATCACTGATTGAAATGATTTCTCCCTCAGCATAATCCTATTGCCGGCAGTCACAAAAGAACAGGGAGATGGCAAATGAAACCCACAGTAACTGAAGAGGTGTCCGAATTCAATTAGGAAGCGACCTCTCCCATGTGGACACATAAGCCATATAAATCCATTTTAATTGTGAGCTGTGGTACTTATCTGGTCATGTTTATTTTGTTTTTTTGTTGTTTTTTTTTTTACATCTTTATTGGGGTATAATTGCTTTACAATGGTGTGTTAGTTTCTGCTTTATAACAGAGTGAGTCAGTTATACATATATATATGTTCCCATATCTCTTCCCTCTTTGTCTCCCTCCCTCCCACCCTCCCTATCCCACCCCTCCAGACAGCCACAAAGAACCGAGCCGGTTTCCCTGTGCCATGCGGCTGCTTCCCACTGGCTATCTACCTTACGTTTGTTAGTATATATATGTCCATGTCTCTCTCTCGCCCTAACACACCTCACCCTTCCCCCTCCCCATATCCTCAAGTCTGTTCTCCAGTAGGTCTCTGTCTTTATTCCTGTTTTACCCCTAGGTTCTTCATAACATTTTTTTTTCTTAAATTCCATATATATGTGTTAGCATACGGTATTTGTCCTTCTCTTTCTGACTTACTTCACTCTGTATGACAGACTCTAGATCTATCCACCTCATTACAAATAGCTCAATTTCGTTTCTTTTTATGGCTGAGTAATATTCCATTGTATATATGTGCCACATCTTCTTTATCCATTCATCCGACGACGGGCACTTAGGTTGTTTCCATCTCCGGGCTATTGTAAATAGAGCTGCAATGAACATTTTGGTACATGACTCTTTCTGAATTCTGGTTTCCTCAGGGTATATACCTAGTAGTGGGATTGCTGGGTCATATGGTAGTTCTATTTGTAGTTTTTTAAGGAACCTCCATACTGTTCTCCATAGTGGCTGAACCAATTCACATTCCCACCAGCAGTGCAAGAGTGTTCCCTTTTCTCCACACCCTCTCCAGCATTTATTGTTTCTAGATTTTTTGATGATGGCCATTCTGACTGGTGTGAGATGATATCTCATTGTAGTTTTGATTTGCATTTCTCTAATGATTAATGATGTTGAGCATTCTTTCATGTGTTTGTTGGCAGTCTGTATATCTTCTTTGGAGAAATGTCTATTTAGGTCTTCTGCCCATTTTTGGATTGGGTTGTTTATTTTTTTGTTATTGAGCTGCATGAGCTGCCTGTAAATTTTAGAGATTAATCCTTTGTCAGTTGATTCATTTGCAAATATTTTCTCCCATTCTGAGGGCTGTCTTTTGGTCTTGTTTATGGTTTCCTTTGCTGTGCAAAAGCTTTGAAGTTTCATTAGGTCCCATTTGTTTATTTTTGTTTTTATCTCCATTACTCTAGGAGATGGGTCAAGAAGGATCTTGCTGTGATTTATGTCATAGAGTGTTCTGCCTATGTTTTCCTCTAAGAGTTTGATAGTTTCTGGCCTTACATTTAGGTCTTTAATCCATTTTGAGCTTATTTTTGTGTATGGTGTTAGGGAGTGATCTAATCTCATACTTTTACATGTACCTATCCAATTTTCCCAGCACCACTTATTGAAGAGGCTGTCCTTTCTCCACTGTATATTCCTGCCACCTTTATCAAAGATAAGGTGACCATATGTCCATGGGTTTATCTCTGGGCTTTCTAGCCTATTCCATTGATCTATCTTTCTGTTTTTGTGCCAGTACCATACTGTCTTGATTACTGTAGCTTTGTAGTATAGTCTGAAGTCAGGGAGTCTGATTCCTCCAGCTCCGTTTTTTCCCCTCAAGACTACTTTGGCTAGTTGGGGTCTTTTGTGTCTCCATACAAATTCTAAGATAAAATTAAGATGAAAAAGGTAAGCAGAACGCTAGAACAGAGAAAATACATTTTATTCTGTTGTTGGGGGTACGTATTTTGTCATTCATCCGCTTCTAACTGTGTAAGTCCCCTTCATGAGTATTCCAGTGGTTTGGAAACGGGTGTCTGGCTGACGGGTGACCCATTGTCTGAGACGGGCGCCGTCCTTAGCCCACCCCACCTCCTCCCCTGGGCCTTCACTGACAGTTGTTGGGGCGTTCCAGCTGCTCCGTAGAACCCTCAGCCTCTGAAACGCGGTGGGCTGTCCAAGCCGGAAGTTCAGGCTTCTCCACAAGACTGTTGCTTGTCTAGGAGCGGGGGTGGGTTTCAACACCACACACATATGGAGTTTTCACCTTAGGAACAACCGTTTTTGTTTTTGTTTTTGTTTTTAAAGGAGAAAAGAAAAAAAAAACCCAACTCTAGCTCATATTTATGGTGTTAAAATCTCAGGCTGAGGGGCTTCCCTGGTGGCGCAGTGGTTGAGAGTCCGCCTGCCGATGCAGGGGACACGGGTTCGTGCCCCGGTCCGGGAAGATCCCACATGCTGCGGAGCGGCTGGGCCCATGAGCCATGGCCACTGAGCCTGCGCGTCCGGAGCCTGTGCTCCGCGACGGGAGAGGCCACAACAGTGAGAGGCCTGTGCACCACACACACACACGCACACAAATCTGAGTCTGAGACAAACTGAGCAAGTCTCATTGAGTGACCGATCCATAAACCAACTAACTGAAGGGCTGGCGGTTTTAGTCAGCACTGAAATGAAGCGGAAAACCTTCCAAACTTACCTGGTCTTTCCTGTTGTGTTTTTGTGTTGGCACATCAGAATGTTCTCTGAACCGTTCTCAGTGTCTTCAAGTCCGACCTTAGAAACAAAATTCCCTTTGAAGCAGTTAGATTACTAACTTGTGCCTTGCGATAAATTTTCTAGTTTCAAAGACTAAATGGAACATCTTTTTTTAAAAATTTTACAGAATTACTTTTGGCTTTTCTGAACATGGCCTGACAAACCGCAGCTACCCATTAGGGTCTGTGCGTGCTGGAACGTGCGCCCTCTGGCTTTGGTGGACACCCGGCCCGCCCCGCTTCCTCTGCCTGCACTGTTCTGCCACCAGCATCCCCTGCACTGCCCTCCCCCTCTTTGCCTGGCTGCTTCCAGTCTGCAGGGTTGCTGTCTCAAGGGGGCCTCTCACTGGTCCTCGGGGGCAGTGCTGTCCAGTAGAAATATGATGGGAGCCTCAGATGGGAGCCACATGCATAGTTTTAAATTTTCTGGTACACACATTAAAAAGTTTTTTTTTTAAAAGTCAGCTGAAATTGATTTACATTATTTACATAGTATATTTAACCCAACATATTTAAAATTGCTGGGATAATTTATATTCTTTTTTTCATTCTCAGTTTTGAAATTCAGTGTGTTTTTTTACACTGGCAACACATCTAAGTTCAGAGGAGTGGCTGGCTGCCGCCACACTGGACAGCGCGGGTCTGGATCTTGTGGTTAAACCCTTTGTCATGGGCACCGTGTTTGTTTATCTTTTGCTCACACTTAGTATAGATGTTGTTGATTGACCGCCTGGATAATGGGTGGATACGTATGTCATAATGCTTTGTTTTCCCCCAACAACCGTAGGAGCCTTTAACGATTGTGAAGCTCTGGAACGCCTTCCGCGTAGTTCAGCCTACGTTCAGGACTACGTACATGGCGTACCATCACTTCCGAAGCAAGGGCTGGGTGCCCAAACCGGGACTTAAGTACGGAACAGATTTGCGTAAGTGATTCTTGGCTTGGCAGGTGTGAGCACCAGGGTTCACATCAGATCCTGGGGTGAAAATCGAATCGGTTATATGTGCTGTTGCTGTTTTTTCCTGAGATGATGAATGTCCTCCTGCCTTAGATAATAATGTTTGGATCGGGGTGGAGGGTATGTTTTCCTCTTTTCCGCTCTGAGATCTCAGAAGAGAGTCCACGGCCCCTACCCCCGCCTCTCATTAGTGTGTGATCGTGTGATGTAGGGCAGTCCCTTATCTTCTGGGGTGGTCTCGTCTGGCAGATTGTGTGCAATGCCATTAATAATCATTGTAGAACTGTGGTGATAATCACAGCTGTCATTTATTGAGCCCTTATCGTGTGCCAAGCATTGTAGGAGACGTTTGACATGCACGACCACGTTTAATCCTAATTGCAGTTCTACGAGATCAGAGCTCACCGTCCTCATTTTTCTGCTAGGGAGACTGAAGTTTTGAGAGAAAGCGTCCTTTGCCCCTAAAAGTTCCCAGGGTCAGTACCTCACAGTCCTGGGCTTTGAATGCTGGAGCCCAAGCTCTTGGAAACTTCTACACGGTACCGCCTCCCTCATCTTTATTTATAGGAGGGATGCGGGACCCGGTGAGCACCTCATTCACCAGATAATTGTTCAGGGTCTCGTGTGAGCCAGATCTTCGTAGGTGCCAGGAACGCAGAGGTGCACAAGACAGACAAAACTGCCTGGGTGGAGCTGCTCACGTGCTGGGGTGGGGCAGGGGTGGGGAACAAACAAGCGAACACATAAATACGTACTGTAATTTCAGGGTACAAGAAAAATAAAGAGTAAAGGAACAGAGAGTAAAAAAGAAAGTGAGGGTGGTTAGGAAAGGACTCTCTGAAAAGATGTGCCCCAAACAACAACAGAAACGTGACTACAGTGAGGGAACAGGTCACTTGTAGTCTGGGGAAGAATACCCGAGGCACAAAGGAGCAGCCAGTGCAAAGGCCCTGAGGCAGGACTTAGGAGCAGCACAAGGACAGTGCGTCTAGAACTTAGAGGTCCAAGGGGGAGAGTGACGTGAGGTGATGTCTGGGGAAGATCACGTGGGGCTGGGCAAAGACTCGGGTTGTTATTCTGGTTATTGGAAGTCCTGGGAGATTTTGAGCAAAGGAGTGACATATTCAATAACTTGATTTAGTGGGACCTTTGTGTGCTTTCTTACTAATAGACGGCGGGGGGCGGGGGGCAGGGGACGGGAATGGAAGCAGAGGGAGTAGTTAGGGAAGCTGACCTGACCAGCCCTGCGGACAGAATGATCAGGACCAGCTCGAGATTAGTTTGCCAGGTTTCCAGATGATTGCGTGGCCCACAGGTCACAGCGTTTCAATAAGTGACGTAGCTGTTGCACTGCCGTCACTGGCTCCCCGCCCTGCTCTCCTTTTCCTGCCCCATGAGAATAGCTGCTCCGTGTGAGCGCTTGGCAGGCCAGTGTGCTCACCAAATGGGCGAAACCTGAGCGGAACTTTCCAGTCGACCAGGCCACAGTGATGCGCTCTGTGGAGGTAGGGGTAACGGAAAGAGCTCTCCGGGCTCACACCGGTTCCATGTCTTACCACCTGGGTGACCTCAGGGAGGTCACTTCATCTCTCTGAGCTTCCATTCACTCATCATGTAACATGGATAACAACATCTTTATAAGACAGCATCTTCTTTATAAAAAATAAAAACGAAACGTTGCTGGGGAAAGGACCTCTGTTGAGTGCCTTGTAAGCATACCTTATTGCATGTGTTTTGAGTACGCAAGCCGTATTTGTGGATGGTGAGTAGAGAAAACTTTCCTCATTTAAAAATAAACTGCCTTATAAGGCTGGATGAAAGGACAGACAGATGGACAGACTTTTAAAAAGAAAAGAAATACATCAGCTGCTGTTTCCCAACCCCCCAAGGGCTTTGCCCCAGGAGGGGTGTATCGTGCCCTTGGAGCTGCTTGTGATTAGAGTGAGACCAGGTTTCTGGCCCAGCAGTGCCATGAAGGGTGTCTTCACATCTCCTGCTTTAGGGAGAATTCAGGAGCTGCGCTAGTCTGGGCTGAGAAGAGCAGCTTCCTAAACTTGACCTGTTCTCCAGGCACGGCTACATGGTGCTGCTGGTCTCTTAACAGTATCATTTTAATTTTGAAGGTGAGTGATGTGACCACACATACCCTAGAACTGCCGACACAGGCTACACCCAGGACGTGCTCCCTTAACAATTGTTTCTGCTCACAGAGGTAATGACTCATGACAAAGGGCCAGTAGGAAATTTACATCTTATCAGGGAAACCCTTCCCTTGACTAAGTCTTGTCAGTCAGATTTCATTCCAGGAGCAGCGCTTGGAACAGGTGATAAGATCTCAAGTCAGGCACAGCTGCTGGGCCAGTTGACCTTGATTGCCCAGTGCTGAAAACCAGGCCAGAAATCACCTGGGAGCCTTTGCGTACGTCCCCCCACCCCAGAAGCTCCTGTGGCTGCTGGCGCGTACGGTGACCAGGTGCCTTGGTGCTTTCCTTCTCCCGTCTTATTTCATCTTCACGCTCCGTGAGGCATGTGGCGCTCACCTCCTTCAGTAGCTGAGGAAATTGAGGTGTCCAGGGGTCAGGGGAGTTGCCGAGGGTCCCACAGCTGGTAAGTACAGAGATTAGGGCTGCTTGGGTCCCAGCTCTGTGTACTTCCCTCCACACCTGACTAACGTTGCCAGCCAGAAAGCCGAAAACCACCTCCAGGCTTCTATTTTTGTCTTACGCATTCCCACCCATTCCAATTTTGCGGTCACGTGGACTAAGTTTGATCATGTGATTCCCCAGCTCCCTGCAAATTAGAAGTTGCAAAACAGGTAGAAGGAGGGGAGCCGTTAGAAGCCAGCAGAGTTACAGGATGTCCAGAGCAGAAGAACCATCGCTGGTCGTGACACTGGCCCAGAGCTGGTGGCTGGCTCTGACCCCGGGAGAGGCACTGGGGCCCCGTGCTCCTCACAGAGCACCTTCCTCCATCCCCATCTTCAGTTCTTTCCTAAGCCACCCTCTTGGCTTATTATTATTTTTTTTTTTTTTTTTTTGCGGTACACGGGCCTCTCACTGACACGGCCTCTCCCGTCGCGGAGCACAGGCTCCGGACGCGCAGGCTCAGCGGCCATGGCTCACGGGCCCAGCCGCTCCGCGGCACGTGGGATCCTCCCGGACCGGGGCACGAACCCGCGTCCCCTGCATCGGCAGGCGGACTCCCAGCCACTGCGCCACCAGGGAAGCCCTGGCTTATTCTTCTAATCAGACTTTAAATGTTTTTGTTAACATTTTCCACATTTGCGCACATAATCCGTATTAAATGATAAGTGATTTTGCATGTGACTCCTGAGAATATTCTCCATAATTATGGCATCATATAATACCTAAGAGAAATCAGAATAATTAACCATTCATTATTGATTGTTCATTAATATTCATTCATTAATTATTCGGCAATATAATATCAAAAATATCCACTCCATATTTCACTTTTCCCACTTGTCCCCACAATGTCTCTTGTGGCTCTTTGGTTTTTGATTTTTTTGACAGGCTCCACTCGAGATTCATTTATCACATTGAGTGCATTTACCACTTTTAGTTTCCTAGGGAGGCCATGAGAAATGACCACAAACTGGGGACATAAAGCAGCAGAAGGTCTAGAGGCCGGAAGTCTGAAACCACGGCATTGGCGGGGCTGTGCTCCCTCCGTTCCTTCCCTCTTCCAGCTTCTGGTGGCACCAGCTGTTCCTTGGCTGTGGCTGCATCCCTCCAATCTCTGCAAAGATCCTCTTTCCAAATAAGGTCACATTCACAGGTCCCAGGAATTGGGATGTGGACATATCTTTTGGGGGCCACCATTCAACCATTGCAGTCTCTTCAGTCTTTTTTAATCTAAAAGAGTTGCTCCACCTGTTTGTTTTCTCTGACGTTGACGTTTTTTGAAGAGTCCCGTAGGGTGTCCCACAGTCTAGGTATGTCTGATCACTTCCTCGTGGTTAGATACGGGCTTGCTGTTTTTTTGCAAGCACGGGTGATGTGTGTCCTCACTGGGCCACGTCCAGGGGTGCCTCATGTCAGGTTGTCCTACTGCTGGTGATGCCATTCGTTTGCTAGGGCGGCCATGGTCGGGTGTCTGCACTTTTCCTTTCGTAGTTCACAAGTTACTTGTAGGGTGACACTGAATATCTGGTTCCCTAGTCGTTACAGTGGTTGCCCAAATTGATTATTGCCCTGATCACTGTGTTCTGACTCTATCATTCCTTCCGCACGTCACATCTGGTGTTAGTGTAAGAAAGCACATTTCCTCTCTTCTGCCTCTTCGTTCAGACTTTATTTTTAAATACCCACTATTTCTTAGACTTCTGAAGCTTTCATCTTTCTACCTGGGAGGCATTTTTGTAAAACTATTTCATTTTTCCCTCTGAATACACTGTTATCATCGTTATCTCTATTTATCATGGGTAACTCTTCGAGCACCTCCACCTGCATTATTACCCCCATTTTCCATAAGGAGTTTGAAACATAAGTGTCATCATATGGTCTTGGCACTGCTGAGCCTTGAATTGGGGTCTGACTGCTGCCATGCTTATGCTTTTAACCCCTAAGCTGCACCTCCATCGTAGTCAGGCATCTGAATGGCCCGAGTTGGGGGTCGGAGCTGCTTTCAAGCTGTGTCACTTTCCAGATGCATCTTAGGTGAAGGATGTGTAACTGGTCATAGATAATAGCATATGAGGGCTAGAGAAGATTTTAATTTCCCCTCATGTCTTCATTTTATGATTTTGGAGACTGAGGCTCAGGGAAGTTAATAATGTGTTTAAAGCCACACAGTTAGCAGTGGCAGAGATCAGGCCAAAGCAGAACCCCGAATTCAGTCTCATCCCAGTACAGGGTCTCCTTCCACTGCACCACATCCCCAGAAATTGAGAAATGGGTGTTTAGATATTTACTTAAATGTGGGCCCTTACACAGTGAATTTGAGCTGACTTGCCAAATACTTAAATACAGTTTAAATGGGAAATATGTTCATAAGAAGGAAAGGTGACCATGGAAAATATATTTGAAGGGTTGCTGTATCATCCATTGGGTCCTAAACTCATTCTGACCTCGTGGTGCGTGAGCTAAAGGGAAACGTGATTAAATACCGGGTTTATGCCCAAAAGGAAAAGTTCTGCCAGTTCCTCAAAGGAAACAAAGCTTTTCTGCCTTGGTTTTTGCACAAGCTCACGGATATAATTGTTAGTTAAGGTAATTCCTGCGGCTGTAGTTACATATAAATTCCAGATTTCATGGGCTTAATTAACACTAGAAGTTCATTCTGTTCATGTGAAATCCAAAGCCAGTGTCTGAGTGGTGGGTGGACCAACTCCCACAGGGACTGCAGGGGCCCGGCTTCTTCTTGTGGTCCCACGAGCTTCACTGGCCTCACAAAGGAACAAGCACAAGCTCGGTGCCTGGGAGGGTTTTCTGGGCCAATCAGGAAGTGCCCCGGGACACACAGCCACTCCTTGCTGCTTGGGAGGCTGATACAGTGTGTCTCACATGCCTGGAGAGAGAGCAAGCAGATCTGGTGGGCAGATCTCCGCACCCTGCCACAGGCTGTGCGCCCCCGAGGGCTCGCCTGCACTTCCACGGTCCACGGCAGACCCCGGCCAGCCACTCTGACCTCCACAGACTGAATGAGGTGGGCAGGCGGGTCTCCGAGTGGCGTGTGTGCTTATGTGACTTTTTCCCCACTTGACTTTGAATTTCCTAAAAGTAGGCATGAGTCTCATTCATCTTTAGCACCAGCACCTATCCTTTACCGGCCAGAGGAGCTCAGACCCTGAATGACGATTCAAAAGATTTGAAATGAATAACTGAATGTTGGTCCTCATTATTACCAACTTGACACACTTGACATGATTTCACACTCTCTCTCCGGAGACTGTAAGACAAGAAACAGGACAAAAATTGCTTATACTTGGATTTGGAATTCATTTGTGGGGTGCAGGTGGGACGAGGGTATTAGGGTCTTGGCAACAGATTTGCTTTGCTGATTTTTGTTCCAGGGGAACAAAAACCCAAACTGTGTTTGGGTTTTAAAAATAGATCTCAGGGTGTACTACAGGTTACCCACATACAGAGCACTGGGTGTTTGTGTGCCTTTGAAGAAGAAAATACTTTATAAGTATAAAATGAGACTTTGATTTCGAGTGGTTATACGTTTTCTTTCTTTTTCTTTGCAGTGTTGTATCGAAAAGGCCCTCCATTTTACCACGCAAGGTTTGGAGTGATTTTTTTTTTTTATTGGAGTATAGTTGATTTACAGTGTTGTGTTAATTTCTGCTGTACAGCAAAGTGATTCCGTTACACATAGACATATATTCATTCTTTTTTAGTTTCTTTTCTCATTTTGGTTATCACAGAATAAATGAGTGGAGTTCCCTGTGCTATGCAGTGGGTCCTTGTTGGTTATCTGTCTTGTACATATTAGTGTGTGTGTGTTCATCCCAAGCCCATGATTTATTGGAGTGATTTGTAAATAAGTTAATGGCTTAAAGTGACAGGAAATTTCTGAGCCCCAATTTAATTTTCAGAGGCACACGAATAATTAGAGTCAAATTCCTCCTGGCTTAATAGGAATAGATATTATATGTCTGTCCCTTATAACTTAAAGTTGTTACACTATCTATAAAATAATGAATAGGTCAGGATAATTTATGTTTTAGCATTAAACATTGAGTTAATCTATGTAGTTACTACTGTATAGTAATTATTCATCTTCGTATCAGTGAGTATTATTATCTAAACAGTTGAGTGAATTCACGGGTTCCACGCTGGGAGAAATATTTCTGTTCCTTTCCTGTAAGTGCTGAATCAGGCTTATAGTTTGTAATGTAAAGTGTGAGTTTTTCATTAATACTTTTCCCAGTAGTAGTCTAGGGGAATTCAGGATCAGCTGCTGTGTGTTTTATTTTCTGTATTTTCGTTCTTGGTAGGACAAACAATGTTCTTTTTATTTTATTTTGATATTTATTTATTTATTTTATTTTTGGCTGCATCGAGTCTTAGTTGCGGCACGCGGGATCCTCCGCTGCGATGCGTGGGCTCCTCGTTGCGGGGCTCGGGCATCTCTCTAGTTGTGGTGCTTGGGCTCCAGAGCACGTGGGCTCTGTAGTTGTGGCACACGGGCTCTCTAGTTGTGGCCTGCATGGTCAGTAGTTGCGGCACACACTCTTATTTGCCCCGCGGCCTTATATGCCCCCCGGCATGTGGGATCTTAGTTCCCTGTCCAGGGATCGAACCCACGTCCCCTGCGTTGGAAGGTGGATTCTTCACCACTGGACCACCAGGGAAGTCCCAAGCACTGTTCTTTTTAAATGGGTTGACTTCATGTTTTTTATTTTTAAAACACCCTTGCCTTGTTTTCCAGTTACTCTGTCATCATCGAGCTGGTGGATGACCGTTTTGAGGGCTCTCCTCGCAGACCTCTCAGCTGGCGGTCCCTGGCTGCCCTGAGCAGAGTTTCAGTCAGTGTCTCCAAGGTAACACCGCATCAGCTTTGGGGTTCACGTGTCATTTAAATGGTTGGATTTTTCGTCTTAATTGTGGTAGAAGCATAAAAGTCACGTGTAGG